GAAAAGGGAGTTAGGACAAGAGAAGGAGCAGGAGGAGGAGGAGGAGGAAGAGGTGGAGGAGAAGGAGGGGAAGGAGACAAGACAGAGATGTTACATGGATGGGAAAGATTTTCAAAAACGTTCCTTTTGGTTTCAATATCCAACATACACGGGGGTGTTTGTCTCTTAAAGATTGAAGAATTTGAAACGCAAGACCTTGCAGGAGAAAGTTCCAAAGAGCATTCAGTAGGAGAAGTGATAACATCAGACTCTGATTTGAGTTCCACACTTCTTGAAATAGTTGGCAAAGTGGAGAAAGAGAGGTGAGACCAAGAAGAAGAAAATGATGAGTCTGAAGCTAGAGATTTCAATTGTTCTGTTTCTTTCATAGCCAGTGGTTCACCTAGCCTTATTTCTTCTCTCTCAGTCAGATATGCATCTTCGGTTGTAAACAATGGATTACTACTACCATTTTTGTTGGAGTAGGTTCCATTGCTTTTATTTTCAGCTTTTTGCCAGGTGTTCTGCCATTGCATCAGATCTATGGTTTCTGGTCTGCTTGGAACCTTCCGCATCAGTCTCCTAGGTAAGCTGACTGGCTGGTTCCACATCCTCTCAATCTTTTCTCTTGGGCCCCTCAGGGACTGACTCTTGACTTGTGTTTCCACTAAAAATGGGTCTTCAAAATCTGTTCTCAAGGAAATGTCTGAATGTGTTGATACTGGACCTATCTTTTCCTTATAAAGGGGGTTATAAGTACTTAAGCAGTCCTTATCGGATAGAAATGTGAATTTTCTTGTAGACTTCTGTTGGTTGTTTTTAAGTGATCCATCTACATGAGCTGGCTTGTGAGCCTCAATGGTATTGGAAGAAAAGGGCATCACAACTTGCTGATTTGTCCTGTCTTCTGAGAGTGAGTTATTTCCCCTGCTTTGTTGAAAATGGTAGAGAAGGAAAAGACTTGAAAGAAAAGGAGATAATGAAATGTAAGGAAACAATTTGTGACAGCTTTCATGAGAAAGATGTTTTTATGGTTCTCATTACTACTTCAAAATATAAAATGCCAAACAACACTAATTTACTGAAGCAAAACATTATTTTCAAATTCCTATTCTCAAAAAGATAAGGCAGTAAAATCTTGAGAGTTGGGAGTAGCATAAAAAAATTATTAAAAAAGATGTGTCAGTCTCTAGACTGCTTTTTTTCCCCCGCCCCAGTTAGTTTGATACAGCAAAGTATCCAAGTCTTCACATAACAGTTCACTCATGTATAAATCACAATGCTCCAAATTAAAGACAAGCAACTTGGCCTTTGATTCTGTATCCTTGGCCTTGCTTGAGAATGCTCAGAGCTGACAGTTATGCATAAAAGATCCTTGGCTGTATCTGAATCAGTATATCTCCACTATCCTTCATCTTGATAATTCTGGCCTAGAGCTAAAAGTACTCTGATCTGTGAGAAATTTTGCAAAAGAATACAGAAAGAGGTATTTTATTTTTCAGATTATGAGAATTAACAGTCCACAAACACAGAGGGAGACTTCTCACAAAATTCAAAATCACATTTGAATTTATGCTATAATCCTGAAGAGAGATGATCTTTCTGTTTAAATTTTAACTTAATTTTAAAACATTATAAATAATGCCAATTGGCCGAGGAGCTTCTGGTATTTCTTTCATTTAATTTTTAGAAAAAGACTTCCCTTATTGAGAATATTTACATTAAAATTATATGGCTTTAATGTCGTTGAAGATTTGCTCCTCTGTAAATGGTGAATCATAGGTAGCTTTGAGATATAAACAAATTTGGAAAAGCCAAAGAACACAAATTAAGTGCCTCTATTGAAAGCTTGGGGAACCTTCCTCCAGAAAGTTTGGGTAATGGAGTTTAAATTTGTCTCTAATTAGGGTTTACTCTCCAGTGCAAACAGAATACCAAATTTATTTTAGTAATTGTTTAATATTTACATTCCATTAAAAATGGAAATAAAAGGGGGAATATTTTGAATAAGAACTAAATAGCCACATTGAAAAATCAAGGTAATAGTTTAGGCAATAAAATGATGTATAAAACTAAAGTTGTTAACATGTCATGTGGCAAAAATACACAAGTTCTAAAAAAGAAAGCTAAGTGATGGAACTAGAGTTTCAGTCCCATCTGAGTGATTCAGAAAGTGCTGACAGTTTGGAATAATCTGGCAGCCAACACTTTTTATCTTTTCTGATCTTGGAGAGACATTTTTAAAGTATGTCAAAATTCATTTAACTGCACATTACTTGGTCATTGATTTTGTGGACATCTGGTCTTGATTTGCTCTCTCTTGGACAAAATGATCAAAATAATGATATCACATAATTTATAATTTAAGGGAATAAATATTTTTTGTATTCAATTAAAAACAAGGATAACTTGAAAGCCAGGGTTGTCACTGGGAATATTGGTTTTAAGCTCAGGCATTTCAAGACACCAAAAGTAAATTGGATGTGGAAGATAAAGTTTTCCTTTTAAAAGAAAATGATTCTGTGGTAAAAGATGAAGATCACTGTAGTTATAGTAAAATACCATTTAATATGTTCTATCACATCTATTTTCTAATGCCCTTGTATTAGAATGATATTATTTACTTACTTATGCCTATGTATCCACAGGTGAGAAAGAGAAAACATGTGATAGAAAAAAGAAAGTTTTAACTATAGTTAATTTGAGATGATTATAAAAATACTAACAGGAATTTCTTTAAACATTTAATACTTATATTCAAGAAAAAAATTCATGAGTTCTTAAAGATTTTCTGTGTGTTTATTAAGAATGATATTTAATAATGTCCTAAATAAAATCACATGGTATTTATTTGGATGTTTTATCACAAAAAATATATCCAGCAATGTATCTACTATATATATATATATATATATATATATATATATATATATATATATATATATATATATAATTGATCTGTATGAAACATGAATAATTATTATCCTAAAATAGAAATTTTAAATGAGACTACAAATTGCTATGCCTTAACTCTAACAAATAGGTTAATGCACACTGATTTATAAAGAAGATACATTTTGTTTGGGAGAAATTGAAGTACCATGATGTACCATAGAAGTACCATGATGACTATTATAGAACAAATATTTAAACTATGTGAAGTTATTGATTACTTATTGAAGACATTTACAAAATGAGTTGATATTTTTTATTTTTAAAAATGATTTCAAATAATTCACTTGGAGCCAGTTTATTTTATAGTACCCTATCGTTAGAATTCCTATTAAAGTTTTTGAATAGATAAGTTAAACATTTCCTAAAGAAAATTAAATACAAAGAACTTAAAATATTTTAACACATATAACTACAAAATATTTTACTAAATCTATTATAATTTTTCTAGTAAAAATAATTCACAAATGTGGCTTCTTGGAAATCACCATTTTGAAACTACTTTGAATTCAGATGCCTGTCTTTGTTAAAATTCACACATACCATTCATTCTTATCATATAGAAACACACTTAACTTTACACATACTGCTTTTTTTCTTTCTAAAGTTGTTGCTGGCAGTGGTGGTTAAAGAGATTGAAGAGAATCAAATCATATTGGCTCAATTCCTACATTCACCAGTAGTTCAAAAAAGACCCTCATTTTCAACTTACGAAAAACAGTGAAAACATGTATTTGAAGCAAATATCCCATATTGTATTATTATTTTAGAGATAGAATGTCACATATTAAACACAATTTTAAATTTAGTTTTAGTCAAAATAGCATTAATAACAATTTTAACATTACTGAAACTAGACAGAATCTAGTATAAAATTATTAATATAGCAAACAAATAGTAATACCTCTGCTTAAACCATTTTTCTAATTAACAGGTGAATTTCATTATTTTCAAGGCTTGCGTTACTCCTACTAGTAAATGCTACAAATATAGAGATATGTTTCAGTCCCTCTACTTGACCAAATTCTAGTTAATAAAAGGGTTTCTGAATTTAATTTAGCTGTATGCAAAAATTTATAAATATGCTTGGTAGTTTTATAGAACGTTACAAAGAATTACTCTTGAATTTTAAAAATATAAACAAGTTAAACATAGCCAAAAAAATCAGATTATATGAATAGAATCATTTGACAGATACAGCTTTTAGGTCTTTTAACACTAAGTTGTCTTTTTTAAAGCTATGACTTAATACTGTTTGGAGATTCTAAATAGAATAGGAGAAATATTGAGCAACCATAGCAATCTGCCGTATTTCACCACACATTGTCAGATTTTCTGCCAAAGTTTTTGCAAAAAGGTGAGATGTGACTATTATGTGAAACTTTTAAGAAAAATTGTGCCAATATTACTTATAAAATCAATATTACTAAACAATGTTTGTTGCAAGATTAGGAAGTCCAGAATACTCTTGAATTTATGTTAATGTGGACTGGTGACCATTCTACAGTTACTCAATGAAATAAAAGTAAGAATAATATAATGAAAAGTATTTTCTGTATGTAGTTGGACATTTAATACATGGATTCATTTCATGCAGATCTTAAGATCTTATATAATGGCACCAAATAGTGTCCTATAAAAGGCTATGATTTTAAACTATAGAATTTAGTTTCAATTACAAAATGGGGGTTTGGTTTTGATCCCAAATAAGGAATTACTGTTTTAGGATTGTTTAATTTTTCATCTCATGTGTAAAAACTTTTTCCCCAGATTTTTTTAGGGGGTGATGTCTGTATGACCATGACAACTGAGAGAGTCCATATAATATTAATATCCTAAGTATAAATTTATAATTGTTTTCTCAAGTGCTACTTTTCTCTTAGATTTTTTTTCTTTTGCTATTACTTTTAAACTTTGGTTCTGAACTTTTTTTTCCTGTTTATATATATAAAAATGAAATAAACGGTCCAACAGACTGAAAATGCATTTCTTCATCTGGTTAGAATTACACACCACTCTATATCCAGCAAAACCCATTTACTTCTCAAAGTTTCTGAAAGGCTACTTACATTGCGCTGTCTCCAAGTTCTTCATAGAGATGTGCCCCTGGAGGTGGTGGGGGTGGCGGAGGCGCTGCCATTGGAGCGGGCGCTGGTGCTGCTGGCTTTGCCGCAGGTAGTGCAGACTGAATTCGTGCTGTCTTGGTGCATTCAGCTTGCCGTCTTGGGTAAAGTAAGATTGTTTTGTAAAATTCTTTTTAGAAATCATATGCTTTTTAGCAAGCTATCTTAATAATGAAGTTCAGTTATCACAGGAGCCCACTTATAATATTTTACATAATTATTTGAACTCATAAAATGATACTGTGACAGAAGCATCCTCATAAATATCGCTGATCTATAATTGTCCCTCAGTTCTTTAAAATATTTGCTCCTTGAAGAAGGGGGAAAATTAATAGGAGTACTTGCAAGATAAATTAAGTAATAATTTTAAAGTTACAGCTAAGGGAAATAAGTTGTAGTATTGTATGATTGCATAGTAGGGTGACTATAGATAACACTAATGCAGTGTATATTTTGAAAAACTAGGGAAAAAAAGGATTTTTAATGTTTTTATACAAAGAAACTATATATGTTTGAAAATACAGATAAGCTTACCCTGAATTCAACATTACATAATATATGTATATATAAAAAACAAATAAATGGAACTCCATCAATATGTACAATTTTATATGTCCATTAAAATTTAAAAATAAATTTTATAAATGTATTGCATAATTAAAAGTTTAATGGATCTCTTCATTAAATGAGGCATATAAAAGATATTTTTCCTTTATTTTTCATCTATTATGAGAAAAGTTATTTAAAAACTGTTTAAATACTTTTGACATTACTTCACAGAGTCTGTGAGGTGTGCACATACAGAAGGGAGATTTGGTTAGATGTTGTATTTTTTTTTATTCTTAGGAATACTTGTGATTCTTGTGTTAGAGATGGATTACTGTTTTTATTATTATTATTATTATTATGGGCACATATTGCTAAAGGGTACAAATGATTAGAACACTCTATTTCATATTTACTTCAGTTATATCCAATTCTAAAATCAGCTCAATTCCATATATATCAAACCAAAGAGTGCACAACTATTATAAATGGCAGTCAAATAATTAGTACATAGTTTTGAACAGGATGACCACTTGATCAACATGATATATGGTTTCTATTTTTCTATTACATAAAATCATGTGTAAAATATCCATAATTATACTTACACTTTAAACCTGTTTGGGAAAGCAATGAGTAAGAAAAAAGAGAAAACTATATTAGAGATATTGTGCTCATAATATTTTAACATATGATTTATTCTAAATCATGAATAATTTACTGGTTAAACTCATAGTGACTGTTAATGACATGGTAGGGAGACTAAGGATTTCAGTTCAAAAAATGAAAGTGGGGAACACTTCATTATTACTGTTACAGTTATAAAAGAGGCTAAAATATTCATTACAGGAAAATAAATAAATGAGCTAAATGGAATAGGAAAAACTGGATTAAAACACAGTGATGTGAATTTCAATTCTAACAGAAATGAAAAATTGAAGATGATCTGGTCTTTCTAATTGACTTGTTGGTTCACTCAGCTTGAAGAAAATTAAAGGAATGAAGTGAGTCTTACAGGAAGCACTGATTACACTCTTGGCCTTACTTTGAAGCTGAAGCTGAAATTGGAAGGTGGAACTGCAGAGTAACAAATTCATGACAATTTTCATCATTTTTGCTTTGTACTTTTTTATACCTAGCAAATTTCAAAGACACATCATAATATAAAAGAATAGCTAGCCATTTTTATCTTATTTACAGGCAAAATTTGAAGGTACAAACATTAGGTCTTTATATGTTAGAATTTTTCTTTGATATATCAGCAGAGCAAAACTCAGATTCTGTTAATCTACAAAAAAAGTAATAACTGAAATAATTGTGTACTAAAAAGAGAATTAAATAATCATCTATAAAACATTTAAGTATAAGCATCTTAATTTTTTAAATTTCAGACTGCTGATAATATCACATGAATGCTTTAGTTTTGATCGCTGTATTGCATGTCAAATATAAGAATTTTCTTATTAATTTTCTTTCCTATCAGGATATAAAATTGCTCCTTTGGGAAACAGATGGATGAAAAAGGATAACTAACAATACAGAATAAACTTGAAAATTAATATTGGATTAGTGTCTTAATAATCTAAAATAATTTCCCAGTATCATTTGTTCATACCTTCAGATTTAGTATATTGATTGACATATTAAGGATACATTAAGCTCCAATATATCAACCTAAATATTATGTTGGCAACTTCACATTGTTTTTGTGATGAAAATATTCCTCTAATATCTTCATGTAGATCATGATTTTCGAACTTCAAGTGGAAATCACCTTACCATACTCAATTCAGAAGGAAGTTTTCAGTGTTTGAGAGTTGACTTTTTCAGTAAACATTTTACGTAATTAATAACAGCTCTACCACTATTTCTTACTACTTGTTACATCAAGTAATTTATATAATTCATGATGCCTGTTATTTATTTTCTCTTTGTAGCACCCTCAGAGTTACCTAACTTCTTGACCAGCTTTCTATTTTTTTTCAGTAGAGATATATTTGAAATGTGTATGCATCAATCACAAAGTTTCCAATACCTAATATCAAATCAAGGATATTGCTAGTGTGCCTTAACTATAGACATCTAAAATAGTAATAATTACTTGATTATTTTGAAGGGTCAAATAATTTTTTTTTAAAGAGAGAGAGAAAAGAGAGAGAGAGAATTCTTTAATATTTATTTTTCAGCTTTCGGTGGACACAACATCTTTATTTTATTTTTTATGTGGTGCTGAGGATCTAACCCAGCGCCCCACGCATGCCAGGCAAGCGTGCTACCGCTTGAGCCACATCCCCAGCCCAGGTCAAATAATTTTTTAAGCACAGATATTATAAATGGAAGAGTTTGACTGTAGGAAATGGAAAACTAAGGCACTACTCAGTCAAAATATGTTACCAGCTATTATAAGACAGGTTAGATCAAGGCTACCTAGGAAGGAAGAAACCACATGGAGAATCACATGTGATATGCTATGATTTTATTAACACTATCATCATCTGCATGGAGGTAAATTTAGCCGTATGGCTGAAAACCTATTATGGCAATATAATGAGGTTTCATACCTTTCTTTGGAACTTTGTAAAGTGGGTATATGGATGCAACATTATATTGTTTATTCTCTAGGATACCTATGAGCTTCTCTCAGGAGGGATTTAATCCAAAGAATGAATAAAACCACAGGAAATAAGCTAATCCTCCTACTGAATGAGATTATATTAGGAGCAAAGGGACATTCAGCTATACATGAGAAGCTTGTGGAAAGCTTGTAATGTTTTCCTTTTGAGGAAGGTGATTTGGTTCAAAAAAGATAAAGCAATCCCAGAATGGTTGAATTACCAATATTTTTCAATTACAAAGCCACATTACAAGAGATGATTTTTTTGTATGTCTTCAAAGACCAATCCATGTTTAGTGTCCTTGAATACTTACTGTCTGTAGCTGACCAAGACCACCAAGATGGCAGGAATACAGCAGAGGATGATGATGAAGGCCAGAGCCAACAGAGCCCCTTCTGTGTATCCTAAACTTTCTCCTCGCTTTTTAATGCTGGTCACTGCCTCTGGAGTCCGGATCTGCAGAATGCGCCCTCCTTCCCCATAATATGGTTGAAAATCTTTATTGATATCAAGCAGCTTGCCATCCAAAAACCTTTATGATTAGATAAATAGTAAAATTATTGACATTAGAAGAGAAAGGCCCATTTTAAAATGAAATAATACTATAAAATATTTTATTATCTTTAATTTTAAAACAAACTGAGAGTGTTATGAATAATAAAGGTATTACACTGTGGAGGAGAATCAAGGAATGGAATAATTATCACTTAATGTATAAGAAGAATCAGCAATAAAGAAGAGTTAAGTATATATCTGTATAAATCAATGCTGTTAATGATAATATCCCTTACTTTCAATATCACTAAACCTCCAACATTGAAATAATTGACATCATTAAGGTATTCAGATGGAGTATAATATAATATTCCAAAGTAGATAGCACTGTTTAAAATTATATTCATTCATTTTCTCTTGCGTCTTCAGGATAATCTTGAAGACACACAATACTGATGGACTACAGCCCAGATTCTGACACCATTATGGAAATAAGTCTGAGACTCCAACCTACATCTTGAGATTCACAATAAATATTTTCTACCACATCATCTTAAATGCCAACATTCTCAAACCTCAAAGTGAAACAATGTTTTATAGGAAGAACATGAACAAATATTTTTTTCTGCCTGGGAAAAAAGATTAAATCAATGATACAGGTAGAAATTATTGTAGTCAGGAAGACAAGAAATAGTGGCAAAGTTAATCCAATTATTCTTGAAAATCTTTCCTCTAAATAACACTATGCTAACTATAGGTATTACACTGTCGAGGAGAATCAAGGAATAATTATCACTTAATCTTATTATTTGGTTATATATTTTATACTATGATTAGTAGGCAGTATATTTTTTTCAAAATTCCTGTGTAACTTCTTTATAGTCTTTTATAAATGTTAAAATCAGTACACTTATATTCTTAATACTACAGAACCACAAGATGTTTAAGTTATTCTTAATTCTTTAGGATTTTTTATTTAAAGTCCAATGTTTTAATATTAAAAATTGGAGAAAATGAAATATTTCAAGAAAAGGAAAATTACACATGGCTCTGTGATGCAAAGTAACTGTACTCACTGCTAAGATCTAGGTATACTAAAAAATCATTTTTAATTAAAAATGTTGTTATAACATTTTGATTATAAAGCATAAAAGAGTAAAAATATTTTAAAATTGTGTTTACTAATACAAAAATACCATCCTTAAGTTGAAAACCATGGAAAACATAAAGACTTGTGGGAAAAAAAAAGCTTTAAATGGCTCTAAATTTTATCATCAAAATATAAAATGGTAGTTACCAAAGGCTAGGGAGAGCAGAAAGGTGAGAAAATGAGGAAAGGTTGACCACTGAGCCATACCCCTATCACTATTTTGTGTTATATTTAGAGACAGAGTCTCACTGAGTTGCTTAGCATCTTGCTTTTGCTCAGACTGGCTGTGAACTCTTGATCCTCCTGCCTCAGCCTCCCAAGAGGCTGGGATTATAGGAGTGCCCCCTGGCATCAGGCACAAGTAAAATATTCTAATTATCTCTTGCATAGTAGGATGACCATAAATATTATGGACTTTATATTTCAAAAAGCTTGAAGAAAAGATTCTGAATATTTTCACTATAAGGAAATGATATGTTTAAGAAGATAGGTACGTTTAACTTGATTTAAGCAACATACAGAACATTATAGGAAAACATCCACAATTCCCCAGAACACACATAATTTTCTCTTTAAATTTAAATTTAAAAATAGCCAAATGTCATGCTTTTGCACTTTTACAGTGTATTTATGCCTTTTTGAAACTATTTGTTCTAATTTTCAGCATGCCATGCAAATTTTAAATTTATTTAAAACCTCGTTCAGAACTTTCATATATGAAAACAAGATGCTTGGTATCAGATGAATTCTGATAGCTAGTTTATTAGTCTTCCAATTTAAGAAACCTAATGGCCCAGATAATTCAATTTTGGTTTTAAAGCTACATACTTTCTTAACTTAAATTTTCATACTGCAATATAATATAATTAGGATGCCTTTTAAAAACATATCTGGTATTTATAGATGAAAAATAAACCTTTTACAACAATTTTCCTAGATGATTTTTACATGTAGAACAATTTAGTAAAGTTTTAATCATTTTGTTTGATTTTTTGTCAGATAAAGAAATATATTCTCAATGAAGTATAGATTAAGAATTGAATCACAAGAAATATATTTTTTAAACTGGGAAAGATCAGAACCAGAAGATGATCATTACTTGCAGGGATAATCTGCCCCTTTCAAATGGAATTGATTTGACAGATCTCAATTTATTGGACTCTTGTTCAAACCATGTAAGAAGATTTCTTATTCATACAGGTGTTCCCCTTTGAACCCTTATCTAGACTACTGATCTACTTTTTGTACATTTAGAGCAGTTTGACTAGTTAAATATTTTTGAGTCAAAACATTTTTTTTCTTACAACATGGTGAATTTTGTTTTATTGCTCTTTGGAATTTTATCAGGCAAATGAGATGTATTTTATAAAGCCATAAAAGCAAATGAGAAAAAATAAGCTAATATTTTGATAAACTAGTATGTGTATACTCATTGTAAGATTAAAGCAACAGAAACCCACAAATAAAGAGGCATTTTTACTCCCTCTGAAACTCTTTTCCATGGATGCACACAAGAGAGATTAGGAACAAGATAAGAGACAAGAGAAAAATTTCATTCAAGGTGCAAGAACAGGAAAGAAAGAATCAGTTAAAGCTGTGGCATTGGCAGAAACACTAGGCCATTTCCCAGAAATTACCTCACATGAGTAAATTATCCCCTTCCCTAGAGTTCAGGTGAAGGTGTACGTTTTACTTTTGCATAAACCAAAATTGACTATACCTAAAAGAGGAACAGTAGTCCCCTGGGCCTAGTATCCTCTGAAACAGTACAAAGTAGAGGTTTCATGCTGGTTGGGGAAATACAAAGGACTCACACTTGGCAAAAAAACGTATCCAATGCAAGGTGTGGCTGTCATAAAATGGAGAGGGCAAAATCTGAAAAACACCACCCCAACGTCTGAACACAGCTACATAAGAATTTGCCAGATTAGTCTTCCAATATAAGAAACAATGGCCCAGCTAATTCAATTTTGGTTTTGAAAGTATATATTTTCTTAACTTAAATTTTCATACTGCAACATAAGGCAATGAGGATGTCTTTTCTGAAACCTATCTGGTTTTTATAGATGATAATCAAAGGAACCCCCATCTCACACCCATCCTTGGATTAAGATTAGAACCAAGCCACATGGAAGAGCAGCATAATACTGCTAGAGAGAAAAGAGGGAGGGGAGGATCCTCTCCATGGCAGAGGACTGCAGGGATCATTAGCAGGGAAGGGTTGAGGAAGGAGTATGAGAACACCCCAGCACTATTCTCTATTCTAAGATTGTGGCAATCACATTCCACCAGGAGAAAATGTGAACTTTGTAACACACTGAAAGTAATGACTGTTCCAAAACATAACTCCTAAATAGATTTACTCAACAGAAAAGGGGACGTGTGCATGTACTGACATAAACTCCCCATTAGTTCTTACTATTTTACATATCTGGTAGTCAACCAAATAAAACACAAATAGACTATAAAAGAAAAGAAGCACACTAGTCAAGTAAGAAAGAAAATAAGAGAACCAGACACAGATAACCTAGATATTGGAAATACCAGAAAGGAACTTGGATACTACTCTGAAGAATAGACAATAGAATTCAGGAGAAAGTGGAATAACCCTACATCCACTGCCCTGGAGATTAGATAACAATTTAATATTCTGGTATACTTTTCCAGTGTTAAAAACTAAATTTTCAATAACTTTTATTATTAATTATTATTAATGATGAAATGTGTACATTATCAGCCTTGGAATACATGTGTGTGTGTAAAATTTTATTGTAAAGTATTTCAAGGAACAATTAAAATGTTAAATGAGACCAGTGTTTCTCAGATAGTGGTTCAAGATAAAGTTTAATAATTCATGGCAACTCTACCCTCTTCTCAGCATAAACTATGTTTTTAAAATTCATCAGTATTCTCTACTGTTTTTTCCAAATATTGTATCCCTAACATGTTTGACAGTATAATACAAATTATAATTACTATTATTTTTCTTTTTAAAACCAGGCATATGTCCCAAAAAATAGACATTTTTACACTTAGGAAAATCATTCTAAACTCAATCTATTATCAAATTTTAAGATAAAAGTAGTTTACATAGTAAACACAGAAAAAGGATGAATATTTTTTAAAAGAAGAAAAATTCTAATATTTACAACAGAAAGACTTTCTGTAATTTAGCCCTACATAAATTTTTAAAATAATAAAATGCACAAAATTGGGTTTGTAGGTCTAAATGTTACTTCATTTGGAGAGTGATTATATAGCCTGAGGGAGTTACCACTTCAGTCATCTATATTTCCACACAGTGATAAGTGTACTGACTTGCATTAAAATCTCTTCAAATAAATTGTTAAATAACAAACTTAATAAAAATGGCTTGTTAAAATTACAAATCATTATGTTCTTGCTAAAATTGAAGCAAAGAATTGTTGTTGATGAATAGACTTAAAACTAAACTAAATTGAGAGTTTATGGATTTTAGTAAAAATGAATAAGTAGGTACTTTCTAAATAAACAAATGTATGTAGACATACATGATACATGTAAATTTGAACATGAACATGTTTCTAAGCTGGTTGGTATGTATAGACAAATTTAAATTCTGAAACTATGACTTTGGGAATAAATTTTGTGTAAGTTTGCGTAAATACACAAATAAAAATTTTGAATATATGCATATGATCTCATATTCAACACATATTTTAAATTAAAAATGTTTACATTGAATTATAGTCCAAGAATCTGTTAGACACTAGGTGTCACTAGAGTAAAGCAGAAAAAAGATAGTTGTTTTTTTTTTTTTTAAGATTCAACTGCTAGAATAACATCTAATGGAAAATATGCAGCAGCATTTTATTAGATTCTGACCTCCATTTTTTAAGGATATTTAACTCAAATTTTCAAGTTCACTCTAAGGTTACACCGGGATGAAATACACATAGGTACAGTCTTAAATGGGTGTGATTTTTTTCCTCTGTTCTCCACCCCCAAATCAAGGGGGGAAAATAAATATGTACTATAGACATGATTTTTGAATTGTTGACTCAACAGACTTCTTAGAAAGCTAGATTTCTTCTTAACAGTCAAGTCTACTGAAATTGTTGCAGGGAAACTGCTGCTTTAGGAATCTGTATTTTCCTCTCAAACAGGCACGGTCTTAGAGCAAGAGTGAGGCCCTACCATGAAGGAATGTGTGCTGTCTGTCTGTCTCTCTCTCTTTTCTTTTTCTTTCTTCTTCTTTTTTTCTTCTTTTCTGTATTCTGAGGATCAACCCTATTGCCTCAAACACTCTAGGCAAGCACTCTACCATTGAGTTTATGTACCCAGTCCTAAAGTGACCTCAAAGAGTTATTTCTTGCATATAACAGATCCTTTGTTACCCATATATTCTGAAGTCACTGTAGCTCATACTTGGACTTGAAAACTTAGTGGTGAGGAACCTAGATTTTCTCTGTGATTTATTACTTGCACTTCATTTGCAACATTTTGGTGTGTTTTAAACTTTAAGTACTTATAATTAAATTACAATTACCCAGGAATGCTATCATAACCAGAATGATGATGAAAAATGATAATAAAATATACTTACTTAAAAAGTTCATTTCTGTCAATGGCTCTGTTGGTTTGGGGATCAATTGCATAGACAGTCAGGTCACATTTGCTGTAATCTTCTAAAGAAAAGGCATCCCCGTGCCGGCGAGCACCAATGGATTCTACCACCACCTTGGCACCAGGAATTTGATCCTGAACATACCGATCCAAAATCCTATAAATCAAACAAAGTAAAAACATGACATTACGATGGGTTTACTAGGGGGAAAAAATCACCCTCAACTTGAAATGACATTTAGGAAATAAAAAATGATGGCAGCCTGGTTTTTGCTAATGTTTACTGAACATGAACCTTTGAAGGAAAGAATAACAACAAAATAAAAGACATTTTTTTTTTTCAGCATTTAACTCCCAGTGATGCTGGAAGTCAAATAAGGTAGATAAAGGTCATCAACCATGTCCTATTTAAGTCTAGATTTTTTAATTTATGATACCATTTAAGCTTTTATGTGGCTCATGGGAAAGGCTGATATGTTGTACAAATAAAGCTGTCTATGCTTTAAAGGAGCCAAGGGGGTCTTTGAGTCAATGTCATAAATTACACCTCCCACCTATGTCTGAAATACCTGGAAGAGCTACATGCTAAGGTATAGGATTAGAATACCTGATTTTTTAAAAAAAGTTCCTGAGGGCATTATAGCAATGAGAAAATGTTGACATATTTTGCATGGTAAGTTTACAAGGTTAAGATAAAAATATTTCATGCAAATATCAGAAGCTATTTAGGTGAACACAATCAGCTAAGAAATATACCATGTCATATCAGAATAATAATAGAAAAAGCAGATATAATATTAACTAATGGGTAATTTTCTGAAAATTGCAATTCTTCCAATTGTATAACTTGATTTTAATTGAAAATACAATTTACTACCATATAAATATTTGTTTTCTATTTTTCTACATATGGCAATTTCTTGTAGATTAATACTGGAATGAACACTAATTATTTATGAACATTTCAATGTTCAGTGTTTAACTGTATGTGACAAATATGTTTACATTGCCTATACATTCAATGTTTCTTGTGGAGTCCAACTGTGAAATATTTTCTTGGGTAGATAATATATTCTAAAATACTCTAACACATCTGGAAATAACTTTTGCTTAAGATATCAAATTGACCTACTTTCTGCTCTGTTAAAAATAAATTGCCTTAAGAGTTTAGCATGTGCTTGGTTTGTCCTTATTACAAGAACAATCAGAATATTAAACTTTGGAGGAAATGGCTATGCAATTGTATGCCAGGGGACGCTGCCAATGGTAGTGAAATGCTCTGTCCATTTGTTTTCAAATTTTATAGATGAGTTCAGTTGAAGGTTGTTCATTCTCCTTTTCTCTCATCATCCCACACTCATGGTTTCTTCATCTTACAGAATTGTTTCTGATGAGATTCTTGAGAAGAATCAAGATGCAAACAGTAGTAACATAGCATTGAAGAGCACAAAGCTTGGATTCAGTTTTCACCTTTTACACATCAATGACATCATCTTAGACAAATAATTGTAAGCTCTTAAAGTCTCAGTTTTCTTAAATACAAAATAAAAACATCATTCCTTATATGAAGTTTTGTGTGCATTTAGTGATTTTACACAAATCTTTACACATATTTTTCCAGATAGAAAGGGTTTTACAAATTATAATTATTGATATTATGATTGTAGCTAGAAATTTGGTTCTAGTATTTGCATTAACAGGTTTCTTCCTTGAATCTAATTAAAAATATTTAATTAATTTGTAAAACTATTAGTAAAGCATATTACTGGTACAACTGAATCACAAATCAAAATCAAACAAATGTGAGTACACGATTTAAAAAAAATTGTAGAATGTGGGCTAGCTGTCCCATTCCTTTAGTTTAACAATTTATATCTTCTGCAGATCCTTTTGGCATTATTTGATATCGTTGGAGGAAATTCCTCATGTATGTATGGATTAACTGTATGCTGTGCTACAATGAAGAAACACTTCTGTTAAGTCTGTATTTTCAACTGTGTTTCAGTGCAATACTGCAGAATCACATTAAGAAAAAATTAGTTGTAGAATGAAAAATTGCTGTGCTAATTCCTTTAAGATTTCAGAGAATTATAAGTCAATGAAGTCTAAAATAAATAATAACATTTAAAACATGCAATAATGCCTTCTTCCTGAACATTATTTTCTTGGAACTTTTGAGATGAAATATATCTTATGATAAAAAGAATGTATCCTAATTCAAATTCTTCCTAAAGTTTTTTCTTATGGAAACCTGAATTTAATACTTTTTTTTTTTTTTGTACCTGGGATTGAACTCGGAGGCACTCAACCAAAGAGCCACATCCCCAGCCCTATTTTGTATTTTATTTAGACACAGGGTCTCACTGAGTTGCTAAGTGCCTTGCTATTGTTGAGGCTGGCCTTGAATTTGTGATCCTACTGACTCAGCCTCCCCAGCTGCTGGGATTACAGGTGTGTACCACAGGTCCAACTTAATACTTTTTTATAAAAGCACATTTTGTAAAATCCTATCTTCAACCTATATTGATATTTATTTATTAAGCATTTTCTACATCTATCTTCATTACATATATTGCATATATATAATTTTATTATGTATGCATGCATTTATTTCATATATACATACATATCTATGTGGATATGTATATATAAATATATGTAAACATATTTAAAGAAGGATAATGTGAAATGGTCTCTATCTAATCTATAATATTTATATCTTCAGAAACAAATCAAAAGAGATGTCTATGAAGATGTTTACACAATATTAATAATTCTTAGGTTCAGGTGGTATAACTTAAACATTTTTGTGATTTTTCTTATTATTTAGTTTGAATTACTTAGAGTACACATAATAAAAACAATATAGTCATAATTTTAAAAAAATCTTTAATTCTCCATCTCCTCTCCTTCAATTTCTTTAGTAAAAAATATCCATATGTAAGTCTATATGTTCAGAAATAAAAAAAATGTAAAACAATTAAGTTGGGTATACAGTTATATAACAAAATTACAGGAAAACTCAGGTAAGAGTTAAGTGGGAAGATTTTATTTATTCATTTATACATTCATTCAATATATTGTATGTATATATCACATTATTTTACCCACTCATCTTTCTGTGGATGCATTTGTTGATCCTATAATGAGGTTACTGTGAATAACACTGCAATGAACGAGGGCATGTAGATATTTTTTCAACATCCTGATTTCAGTTCTTTTAGATATATACCTAGAAGTGAGGTGTTAGATCATATGGTAATTATATTTTCTAATTTGGGGGAACCTCCATTCTGTTTTCCATTGTGCTTACATGGCCTGATATTTCAGTGTGTAATTGGTCCATTTTCTCCAAAACCTTACCAAAACGTTTCTTTTGTCTCTTTTGGTAACATCCATCCTAATAGTTGTAAGGTGATATCTTATTGTGGTTTTGGTTTGTATTCTCATGATAATTAGACATGTTGAGCACTTTCACATACCTGTTGTCTATTTGCATGTATTCTTTTGAGAAATGTCTAGTCAAGTCCTATGGCCATTTTGGAAGGGGTCAGGGGATGTTGCCCTATACAAAAAGTAACTAAATATGAATTTAAATAATTTAATATAAGGTCTGAAACCACAAAATCTAGAAAAACACATAGAAGTAAATGTCTTGACCTTGGTTTTGGGGAAACTTTCTTTAGTATGGTAACAAAGGCACAGGCAACAGAAACACAAATATCTAAATGCGAGTACTGCAAGCTATAAAATTTATGTAGCACAAAAGAAAAATCAGCAAAACAAGAAGGTCACCACCACAGTGAGAGAAAATATTTGCAATCCAAATATCTGAAAAGGGACAATTTCCAAAATACATAGAAAGTTCTTCTATATCTTTTCTTTCCCTTATCATTGATTTTGCATGATAATTATTTTTGGAAGTATCCCTTAGTTTTATAAAGCTTAATTCAAAGGAACCTAGGCTATTTTGGGGGGTTGGGACTGGGGATGGGGCCTATATTTTATAATTTTATAATCACTGAGTAATTTATTATCTGACTCAAAAACACATAATTTTGGTATCTCTAAAAGAATACCTGGACACAAAGCAAAGAATATATAATTAATCCTGGCATTTTCAGGTAAACCGATGGAGTTAGAAAAGATAATGTTAAATGAAGTTAGCCAATCCCAAAAAAACAAATGCCGAATGTTTTCTCTGATATAAGGAGACTGATTCACATTGGGGTAGGGAGAGGGAGCATGGGACAAATAGACGAACTCTAGATAGGGCAGAGGGGTGGGAGGGGAAGGGAGGGATCATGGGGTTAGAAATGATGATGGAATATGATGGACATTATTATCCATAGTACATGTATGAAGACATAAATTCGTGTGAATATACTTTGTATACAACCAGAGATATAAAAAAATCTCTTGTGCTCTATGTATGTAATAAGAATTGTAATCCATTCTGTTGTCATATATAAAATAAAAAAAATAATTTTAAAAATAGCATGTTTATTAATTACATTTCCTGTAAAATATCAAACTTGGATTCAGGCAAAATTTCCTCTTAGAGCTAACTAGTAAATTTTACCTGTGCCTTGTATTCCTTGAAAATAGTGATAATTAGGAGTCCTCCTACCCTTCTTTGTTCAGAGAAATCACTGACTGCGAAGAATTCAGCCTTCCTACCATGACTTATATAAGACTCAGAGTGGTCCGTGGTTTATCTATAAGGAAGCCAAATACATTTCTATTCTGTATTTTATGAGTGATTAGGTGAATTGTTTTATCACTAATGATTGATAAAATCAAATCAATTTTTGATTAGCCAAACTTTTAAAATACTTGGTGACTCAGTAGACTTAATGGGTTAAATTTTCTCTTTCCTTGATCCCTTTAGGCTGACCCCCAACCCCTGCTTACCCCGATCCCCCATTACACCAACACCTCATACAACCTCTTCTTTAGTTCCCTAATAAAATAGGCTGATGTCTGGTAAAACATTCTCTAGTATCTACTTTACTGTATGGTCATCTTACTTTCCCCACACCCAATTCTTTCTAGCCTCATTTACTCCTCCCTGTAAAAGAAAATCCCTTTCTCTCTAAACTTTGAGATATTTGCAGACCTCTTGGTCAGAGAATTCACCATTACAACAGTCCTCCT